GACCCACACTCCTGTTGTTGGCTGTTGCTCTCAATTTTATTATGTGTTTAAATTCCAATGCGTTCCTGTTTTATATATACAGTATGTGTGGGAGTGCTACTTACATATGTAGCTCAGTGCAGGATTTGGTCTATGTATATATGTTGATGCGTAGTCCTCTTGAAGTTACATCACCTCATAAACAAATAGACAAACAAACAAAAAATATATTTTTGATAGAGTGATTATCTATAAATTGTAGATTATAGATTAGAGATGGATAATTTTGGGGAACAGTTTTGAGGTGAGAAACTTAAATATCAAAAAAAGTACTGGAGATGTTTATGTCTTTATAAAATGTAACACACATTATGCACTTTTTATGTTAACCCAAATCCAAACTATTTGTATAAATTTGTAATTTCAGATTTGTTTACACATGTGGAAAGTAATCTGGAATTATCTATTATTGACTTTGGGTAATCCCTTGGATTACATTACCGATTACAATTTTGATGAGGTATCTAGTGGCTGTAATGGAATACAATTTTAGTGACCTACCCAACCTCTCCGGGGCTGCAGTCGGATTGACTGGCTGTAGTTAAAACCCCACAGTGCCATGAGAATATGGGACACACACACTTACACACAAGCACACATGCAAGCATTCTGGATAAATCACCAGAAAGAGACACTAGGATTAATATCCAAAAGCTGTTTTATTCCTCTGTGATATGATGCCATATCTGGATTTAACATTTCAGATGGGGATGTCCTTTTCAAATTTGAGTCTGAGGCTTATTAGTGTTTAGAGTCAAAATACAGCTGATATTGCAATCTTAGAAACCTGGACCATTGTTACAGACAAAGATTCAATCTTGGAAAACGTCAGTCTAAATCTGTTAAATTGTGTTAGTAAATTGGTTTAGCAGTAAAAATGAAAGAAATCTTTGAACAATCGTCTTCTGTTAACTCAGAGCAAAGCAACCCTGCTGTATCAATTTAAAATGACGAGCATAAAAAATATGCTTGATGGGGATAAACGATTACATAGTCTGTGTATGGATGAAGACGTATTTTGAGTGGGATAGAGAGAGAAGGAGGGATCTGGAAAGGCAGGCAGATGAAAGGATGCTGGGTGCTGAAATGGTCTTTTTTGGGTAAAACACAGTACAAGTACATTTTAGGTTAGTTCTTCCCAGACTTTTATTGAAGTACAGTGCCATTATCAGCATACATTTGCAAGTTGCTGTATGTGTTAGTTTGTGTTGTGCAAATAAAAATGCAAGTTAAACTTGATTCAAACTGCTAGCGTTTTTATTTAAACTGCTAGGACAAAATGCTCTCCAAATATACTGAAACATCTCGGGAACAAGATAGGCTTCTGCATGTTTTGAATATGATTTCATGTTTGCTTAATGAGCATCGCCATTTGTTTCTCTTCTTCCCTGTCAAAAACCTGTCTATTTAACTTTAAATATAGCACCACGGCACTCTTGTTTCTTCCTAAATTAATCAGATTAATAGACCCTTTTCAGAGCAGACATTGTAACAGACAAGCACTGGTGAAACTGATAACATTAACAATGGCTTCGGCACAGCAATTATTTAAATGCACTGCAGCAATTACTGTAATAAGGTTCTGTGTTTTACATGTCAAAACATCAATTTGTGGAGCACTGGGTTAGAGCCAGAGATATACACATTTTATGCAGTTACTGTTTCTAAATAAAACTACAAATAAATAGCACTAACCAGGACAGCTGACATGTTAAAGTTAAAGACAATGAACTGGCTTATAATGTTTTAATGAACACACTCTGTTTCTCTGGCATGTTGTCTGCTGGAAGTGGAGTCTCCAGAGAGTGATGTGACATCCTGGCATCATAACTCTACTATCACTGACAAAAGGACTATTAAAATATAATGTTGAGTGAACAGTGTATCTCAACTCAGACTAAATAAAATAATAAAGCAGTTCCTTCAGGGAAATAGCATTTAAGAATGTTAAATTAAACACTGCTAAGAATATACTTTGAGAGGACCACCTTCAACAGAAACAAGCCTACTGTAGGGGTTTTAAACAATTGACATTAGGGCATCAGTTTGCTTTCATGGTATGTGTTGTGGTATGTTTGTGTCTGTGTGTGTGTGTGTGTGCCAGAGATCTATTTCAACTGTAACCTATTTCCGCACCTGCTTGTAACCTATCTATGTGGCTGACAGTCCATTACCAGAAACCAGGTAGCGTGTGAACTCCGCTCTCGTCTCCTCCCAAGTGTCATTCAGCCCTCCTTTCTCTCTTTTCACCAGCAGCTCTATTTTCACTCTTTGTCCTTGGATGACCCTCATTTCCAATGGACATGTAGTAATAATCTGGGTCATACATACACTCATAGTTTAGGTGTTATTATCAGGTAGATAACTGGAGGAAATAACTGGAGGAAATGCAACCAGTACCAGTACAGCAGTCTGAGGAGCAAGCGTTGTCCGATAAAACTAATCTGCTCTTTTTCGGGAACATTCTGAGAGTCTGAAATAGTGTTAATGTTCCAAACCCTGTATAATAACACAACAGTTGCAATATGACATCGAATAAAATTCAGCTCTAGAGTTGCCTGTGAGTACATCTTAATCTGCATTGTTAATTAGACATTTCTTGACAATCAGAAGTTGCTCTGATAGTATTATTCTTTATCACCAAACACTAAATCTAATCTGTTGCTTAATTTTAATCTTCTGCATGAACATGGAAAGACATACCATCTCCTCTGATACCTCAGGAATATGGTCTTATTCACAGTATTTTCTACATCTAGGTTTATGTTTATTATTATATAAGATATTGTTTAATATAATAAATAAAATGGGGAAATTATGTATTATTATAGCACCATGTGAAGTTCTTTCACAATCAATTGGTTTAAGTATTTACTGAATCCATACGTTAATCTTACGGAAGCTTTTCTCGGCCTGGGATGAGGTGTTGAGGTGAGTCCAGAGAGAAGCGTATCAGGTGAAGCTAGCTAGCATTAATAGGTAGCAGACTACTCCATGTCAACCAGCGACTGGCATCCTGTTGTTGTCTGGATGACTTCCAGTTATACGGTCGCTGCACTGCCACACATGCCTTGTTGATGTGACCTCTACCTTTGGGTGTGTGCGTGTGTGGTGCACTAACATTACAGTGAAAGCAGAGACAGATTACTGAAAGTAATGACGAAATCTTCCCTGAAGGGGAACACCGATGGAGATAAGGAGAGTAAGGAGAAAATACAAACACTAACTTTTCTCTCTCCTCCTCTGTCTGTCACACACCTTTGTATAGACACATCGGAGCACATAAAACACAAGGAGACATCATTTAAAATCCCAGAATATATTACATACATTACAGTAAATTGTATACTGAAATGTTATCATACATACAAATACAGTGTAATGGTCTTGTTGGTGTAATAAACCCCGGACTGCTGTAGCCATGACGGTACAGGTTACAGCCAGGTCTATCTCTGAACTCATTATACAACAGTGACTTTACAGATGAGGTACTGACTATATCATAAAAATTGACATCATACTGTATAATCATCATCACCATGAAGCTGACGGTCGAACACACAGAAAACACATAATTATAATATTAGTTTGATCATACGCTCAACCAGAAATTCAGACTAAAGTCTAAAGTTATTTTGAGATAATATCATATTCCTGGATCTCAATTAACAAGTCACTTATTGTTCTTTCCAATATTTCTTTTATAAGAGGAAAACATATTTTCAAAGAAATACTCATAAAACTTACCACCAGAACATTACACTGATACAGCATAATTTACAATTACTCCTCCAAAATATCATGGGACATTTAATGCCTCATGACCCTGTAACAAGTTCCCTTTATTCCCTTTATTCAGCAATTATCTTTGGCTTCTTCTTTCACTTTCCCCATATTTTTCTGATCAAGGTGTGACTGAAGATATCCACTAGTTGACAAAAATGATGATGTTTAAAACATGAAATCCAAACATTTTGAAGGATAGTAACTACCTCATAATCCACTATACATTCAGTTGTATTTCAGGTCGGAATGCATTTCTTTGTTGGTAAATAATGCTCACAAACAAATGCCAAAATGGAGAGAGGTTAGTTAATTTCTACATTTCCAACCAAGCTGAAATAAAAAATACTGAGCATATATGCATGATAAACATAGGTATTACTGTAAGATTATGTATGGCAAATTCAACAGTATCCCAACATTATATAACTTAAGGCACTCCATTATAATACACAGTGTGGAGTCAGTTAGACTGCTAACAATAGTGGAGGATTCTTACCCATGCTACTGATCAAAGAGAATGAATAAATACAATAGAATCATGATACATTTTTAAATAAATAAATACAGTAGGGCCATAATCTAGAGACTATACACATTTGACTCATAAACAACACTTACAGGAAAATTGTGTTTGGGATTTATTATGTTTTTGTTTATGTTATTTCTTTACAACCTTGGCCGTATGTGTAGGCTTGGCCTTCATTCCTATCTGTTCAGATTTTTGTTATCTGCATAATTAAATCTGTCTAAGACCCATGTTTTATGGCCTCATAACACTTTTAAAGTGTAACTAAAACCCTAAATTCTTACAGCTTTTTCCATCCCAAAATTGGATATAATGTATATATCTGTGACTCAATAGCAGGAGTACAGCTGCCGGTAGTCAGAGTTAACAAGCCATGAGCAGCTGCTGTCAGACTCTCCATGTCCGCCCTGGAAACACAGGAAGTCTGCTGGAGCTATTACAGTCACCAGAAGAACATTTACGATGTTCTTCAAAGTTGGCTAAGCTACGTTAACTAAACTAGCCTCTGGTATCAGACTCTCCATGAGACTCCACTCTCCACTCTCTCACCAGAAGTTTTGTGAGGTTGTGTAACATTAGCTAAGCTAGCGGCTAAACACTCTAAAATGTGAATGCAAATTTGAATCAATCAACAGTATGTCTTCAGCAGACAAATGCGATTTTCGGCTTTAGTTACTCTTTAGGTATTTGTGGCCAAAATGGTCAACAGTCAAGCTTGTGAGCAAAATGTTATAAGCTATAGGATTAATGACCAAGGCAATAAAAATATGACCAAAATTATAAAGAAATCCTTATAATGTACTGATGAATTATAATAATGACATATTTGTTATATTTCTACTCAACTAAAGTAATAGTCCTAACACAAAGTAGACTTGAAATATGTTGACATACAATTCTGAACATGAACTGAATGAATTCTTCCGCTTGTCTGTTGTTATTTTCAATGTCATTTTCATATTAAACACAAAAGAGGTAAGTACAGCATATCCTGTATATCCATATAAAACAATTTTTTCACTAGGTGCAAACATTTTATCTCACCAATCCCATTAAGATTGGTTGACGGAAATCATAACAGTTAATTTTCTCCATACTCTCTTCTTCTTGTCTTTCCTGCTGGCTTTCCTGTTGCAAAGTCTCTCCTCCTCCTGAACTTCCACAGTTATTCCCCTTTGTCCCTCTGCCAGATGCCATTGGCTTTATTGAGCGAGGTGTTGCTACCCTCTTTGTTACTTGTCTCACCATTCATGGCTTGCTCAACAGCATCTGCCAAGGGCAACTTGTCCTCTGCTTCCGTCTCTCTGTGGTAGAAGTAGTTAAAGTTGGAAACAATGACGGGAACAGGCAGAGCAATGGTCAGCACACCTGCAATGGCACACAAGGTGCCCACCATTTTACCGCCCATGGTAATTGGACACATGTCCCCGTAGCCTACAGTGGTCATGGTAACCACAGCCCACCAAAAGCCATCAGGTATGCTGACGAACTGTGTGTTAGGCTCATCTACCTCAGCAAAGTAGATAGCACTGGAAAAGAGGATGACTCCGATGAAGAGGAAGAAGATGAGCAAGCCAAGCTCACGCATGCTGGCCTTTAGAGTCTGTCCCAGGATCTGCAGCCCCTTGGAGTGACGTGAGAGTTTGAATATACGAAACACCCTGACCAGACGGATGATACGCAGAATGGCCAAAGACATGTTCTGTCCTGAGTTCTCTTGCGGTGTTGAGACAATTTCTGTAACTACAGTAACAAAATAAGGGATGATGGATATAATGTCAATCGTGTTCATGAGATTGTGGAAAAATTCCTTTTTGCTTGGACAGACCAAAAATCTCACACACAGCTCAAAGAAGAACCACGCAATGCAGGCAGTCTCAATGATGAAGAAGGGATCAGAGAAAGTTGTTGGCTTTACGCCAGATGGAGCCACAGAAGTGTAAACTCTAGATTGGTTGAAAGGCTGTACCGCCGTGGGCACAATTGGGTCACTTTCATCTCTGAATTCTGGCAGTGTTTCCATGCAGAAAATAATGATGGATATGACAATAACAAAAACAGACACCAGTGCTACACCTCGGGCTGCATTTGAGCTTTCTGGATACTCGAACAGCAGCCAGAATTGCCTGTACATGTCATTATCAGGTAGAGGGATCTCAACATCCTTTATGAATCCTTCATCTTCTCTGAACTGCTCCATGGCGTCACTTCCAAGCTCATAGAACACAATTTCATCTGCAAACACATCCAGGGGAACGTTAGCTGGACGTCTGATCTTACCCCCTGACTGGTAGTAATACAAGATCCCATCAAAGCTAGGTCGGTTCCGATCAAAGAAGTACTCGTTCCTCATTGGATCAAAGTAGTCCATCCTTTTCAAAGGATCTCCTAGCAGTGTCTCAGGAAACTGGTCCAAAGTTTTGAGCTGTGTCTCAAAACGAAGGCCGGCAATGTTGATGATGACTTTCTGGTCTCCATCATCTAAACCTCGTTTATCTACAAACAGATCCTCACAGCACTCCTTTGCAAGCCGGCTGAAGATCGTCTCACTCTCCTTAGTGCCCTCACTGTTTAGCAGCAATTTCCAATTGGAGATCATACTGGCGCAGCTACTGCGCCCCTGTCTGCTTGGAGTTGGCATGGTTGGGGACTGGGGTACTCCCAGTGTCTGTGTATGTGGAGCGGGTGAAGATGAGGTGGACTCCCACATGCAGGAGGGCACATAACTGTGGTGGGAGGGCGTAGAGGACAGCTGAGAGGTTCGCAGAAGGTAGTTGCTGCCCGGGCTGGTGTGCTCTGGGGGCATGTCCACGGTAAGAGCTGTGGTCTCATCAGCATAGGTGTCCACCTCATCCTCAAGGCTCCCGTTGAGGTCTACTAGGCTCTCAAAGTCTACCAGCGCCACCTCCATGGCTGCAGTTCAGCCAGTGCAAAGCCGTGGGAACCCAGGATAAGACAATCACACACACACAGATGTATAGATGGGAGGCTCAGTCACCAGAATGAGCAGTAGGGTACCAGAGCAGCCGTTCTTCAGAGGCACTTACAGCAACGGGACAACTCGTTGAAAGCCTCCTCTATTCTTCAGTCCCTCCAACACCTGTAGAGTGAGAGACAGAGAGAGAACGAGAGTCAGTGTGTTTCTGTCAATGGTTTGGAGGGTTTGTTTTGTGTTAATTGTCATCAGGCGACAAGAATATGACGTTAGAAAAGAACATGTTTTATCATGACTCTTTGTTTCCTAGATACCCATCTCTCTGGGAACCAACAGTGAGAGAGGGAAATACAGAAATGATGGAAGAAAGAGGAAGAAGATGGCAAGATGAGGGAAAGAAGGAAGAGATTATAACAGTGGCAGGACAAGATTGTACTCTTCTTCATAGAAAGACATAGTAGAAACACTTTCTATTAAGTAGTAAACATTAAGTATTTGGGTGTAAGTGTAACTAATGGAGGCCTTATTTGCTATGTGTGTTCAAATCACTTGTTGGTTTAAACTTGTGATATTTTGTACCCAAATAATGAAACAAGCTCTCCTTATCTACTGCACACACACACAATATCTCTTTTTAACTACTTCATACGCTCACTGTCATTCACACACACATTTCTCTGTCTCACAGAACATAACAAACATGCATCATAACACCTGCTCAAGGGAAAGGGAATCATGGCACACACCCTGTAATGACCCCAATGCAAGTAGAAGGAGAGGATAGTGCAGGGTAACTGGGGCTGTGCATACATTAGTGCATAATTAACTGGCTGTACAGTGATAGCATGAGCCTAGCTTCTTCCAAACACCAGGGCTCACATTTAAACTGCACTGTGCCAAATATTTTTTTCTAGAAATCCACTCTGCTCCTACATTGTGCCATCTGTTTCTGCACTGAAATTTACCCAAGCTTGTGTGACTTTACACCAGCATAAAGATTATAATGCTCTCTGAGGTGTGTACGCATTAGTGTGAATGCATTTATCTGAATATGCATCTGTGTGTGTACAGTGTGCTGTGTGCTTATACTGTAGATGTGTGTATGTTTATGGCCGAGTGCTGATGCCTGCAGATGTTTAATTAAAGACTCCCGAGATGAGTCACCACCTAGCACCAATGTCAGTGATACCAATCCTGCTGGGAGAGAGAGAGAGAGAAAGAGAGAGAGAGAGGGAGAGATTGGCCAGCTGAAAGAATAAGGGGGATGACAGTAAAATTGTTAAGAAGACGGATGGGGGTGGAAGGACTGGGTGCGATGAGGACAGAATGCAAAAAGAAGGAAAGTGACAATGAGACAGAATGGGAGTTGATAGGTGGGTGGATGGATAGACAGGATGATGAGAGAGCAGTCATGACAAGGAAAGAGGGGGGTTTATCAAGAGTAGAGGAAACAGATGGCAAAGAGGGGTAAAAGAAACAAACACTATGATAGATTGTGCATACAAAACTGGTAAAGGTGTCCAGTGAGAAGAAGTTGGAAACTTAAATACGTGGAGAGTAAAATTGCAACATTTGATGAAAATCAAATCCAGTTCTCCTCTCCTCTCAAACCAAATGGGCAGAATGACATCACTTGACCCTTTGAGCAACCAGAACTTTCTCTTGATCCTAAAATACAGTAGCAGCTGCAAACAAGAACACTGGCAAGACATTTGCTCTTAAGACTAATACCTGAAAATTAGACAATGATTTTGCACTTCATGACCTATTCCTAATATATTTCCAATAACTCAATATGCTATCAATATTTAATTTAGCTTAATGTAAGACAAATAACTGCCAACTCTTAAATGCCTCTCTCTGTAATGTCTGCTCTGACACTACAAAAAGAAATGCTTTCCAAAACAGATCAAGATCATCGCACTGATTCAGCTATCTATCTTTAATTTGTAGTGCCCATTATCTGATTTTTTTTGGTTAGTTAGAAGGTGAGGTTAGTTCAGTTTTCTCCTAAAACAAATCAGACTCAAGACACTGAAGAAATCAAGGAATTGAACTAATTTCAAAAGCTGCCATTCAAACTCTGCCCCCTGGACTCTTAAAGGAAGAAACAAGGTAATAAGACCTTCAGTATAAACTTCCCAGACAAGCTTATAGACAGAGTAACAGACAAGCAACACACTCCTTACCTTCCTTAGCAAGAAGCCTACAGAGAGATGTGCCTACAGTATGCTGTAAAAAGCAAACACAGGAGAGGGAGAAAAGGTTTCCTCCACAAGTTCTGCCTCTTCCTCAATTGGCATGAGTATTACTAATCTATCACAGACTGCATTGGGTAACCTAATGCTGGAGAAGAAACTAGAGCTGGGGCAAAGGCCACATGCACACACACGAACAACAAGCATGGACACAGAAAACAGACATCAGAAAAGCAGTAGGAAAAGGAAATCTGGCATTAAATGTTGCTTCATTGACATTTTCTGTATGCATGTGTAAAATATGTAAGTATGTGTGTGTGTGTTTGTGTGTGTTTGTGTGTGGCCATGTGTGACATAAGCCATCTCTCAGTGATCTGGACAATGTGGTCAAGGCCCTCTAGACTGGAACGATGCGATTAGATCCTCAGATCTCTCCATGCTTGACTTACTCACCTACACACACTCACACACAGGCCGTATCCATATCTGACTTATTTACTCTATTACAATAAATAATTGATTTTTAACAACTCCATTAACATGTTCAACACAGCGGGGTAGAACAAATGGTGAGAGAGTTACATGGACAGAGGAAACAAAGCTCCCTTCCTCACCCCACAGAGCTTTCCACCTTTCACTTCAACTCTTTAACTATAAGCTCCTTCTAAGCTGAACACCTTGATAACAGACATTTTTAATGAAGTTTAGTCTAATATCTTCTATCACAAGAGCAGGGGGAAAAAATCTGAAATTGAATCTCTTACGGGGCCCCCATGTATTTTTTTGTCATAGATGATCTTGTGATCAGGTCAAATTCCAGGGAGTGACACTCAGACACACTCGACCATAACTCTCTGTCCTCACGCTGTAAAACATATATGTACACACAGGCATGTAAGGACGCTGCCACTCCACTCTCATAATTCCAGAGCATGTGTGAACAACTAGTCTTGTCAGCACGGTTGAATCAAAATGTCTTGTTCTTTTTTCAGTAATATTTGTTTAATTGTGAGATTAATTAAATCCTGCTTTATGCCCTTATAATTGACTTGTGACTTACCCACGCTAGGATATACACTTTAATTTTTTTCCAGCCTCAGTAGTGTGATTTTCAGAACCAGTCATGAACATTCTCCAAACCACATAAAATGATGAATTATCAATTGCATGTGTAGGATGGATGCATGCTCAAACACCAAAACACATACTCTTCTTATTTGTAATGGCATTTAAATTGATATTTCTGTTGACATCCGGACAGTCTTTTTCCACTTATTTCCATTTAATTAATGACAACATAAAAAAAGAAGAAAAAGCTGGCTGTCTGAGTTTATGTGCTTAAGTCTTAGATTACAAAAATGTAACAAAGTAGCGGGCAAGTTATAGATTTGGGGGTTAACAGGCCATGAACAGAACTGAAAAGAAGAGAATGAATGAAAAATGTATAAATAATTAACAGCTAAGATATACATAATTCTATATATACTATATATATTGTCATACATTCACATATGCATGGAAAAAGACTCTGCTCTAGCAGTGAGGACAAAATGCTTCTAAGGAGGCACTGTGACCTTGACTCGTGTTAGGACAGTGTAAAACAGAGGTGCCATATGGGCCCCATGCCGACCCATGGTGCTCCGACTATTTTTGCCATGCTATTAATACACAGAGGGGAGTCATAGTGGGAGAAACCCATGAAATAATAACTTGCTATATGTCATACTCCAATGCACACAAATACAGCCAAGCACAGCACACAAACAGTAGGGGAAAAAAGACATGTGGGACAATATGGAAATCTCCATCAGAAATATGGTATTACATGCTGTGCTGAGTGACTGTACATTATAGTAAGCTTACCGCTGTGACTTTACCACATGTGTGTAAACATGAACAGATGTTCAGGCAGATAGCTTAAGCCAATCCTTTGCTAGCTGGTTGGCAAGAAATGCATTTATCTCTCCAATATTTACCCTAAAAATAAAACCTTGTATATACATTTACTAACAATTATTCTCTTCTGCTTTGATTAATAATTAGATGGTTGTTAAATAAAGCACTGCAACACCACTGTCACTGTCTCAAAATGCCTCATGCACATGCAGCTACATGCAAAGGTAATGTAAAGTTAAAGAAATGTATATCATCTTTCAGTACAGTAGTGTAGTGTGAATATGGATCTATTTCTGCATTCCTGTTCAAAGGTACAAACACACTATCATGCACACAGAAAAAACATAGACACTCCCTCCAACTGAGTTTAATTATGACACATTTTTGCTGCCTCATAATTTAGAGTTGACTTTAAATCTTTATGTTTACTGAGGAGGAACAAGACTGCTGACTTCAGATCATTTTAAGCATAAAGGATAACACTAGTTATTTTTATGGGTTTTAATTGTGTTTTTTTGTATTTGCGTGTGTTTATGTGTGTCCTCAGTAATTCCACTCAGACTTGAGGCTTCAGAGGTTTCATTAAAATTTCAAATGATCGTTTGCTTGCAGCTGATCCTGTTGAGTATCCCACAATACAATCTAAGTGGACCTGCTTTTGTTATATGTGATCATATGGTCATCAGTCACCTCATCAACATGAGTTGAAATTTGCCTTGACTTTCTCCAGGTTTAGTTCTTCAATTATATGTTTTTAAGTCTTTAATACTTTTTAGTAATACTTTCTGATTTCTAATATACATTACTTGACAGTAATACACTGTACTCAGTTAAGTATATGGCACCACAGTGTACTAAATACTCTGCAAAACTATACACTGTAAAAACTGTACACTATGCCGTTAAAGCTTAAAGCTGCTGCAGCTGTTTTAATTGTACATGACTCCTGCTTAAAACGATCTAACCTAAAATTATCTCCTTTAAATGTTCACTTTCCTCATCACAAACCAAAGTCTAAATTCCAACTTCACTGGATAATATTCATTATCACTAGAATAAATCTGCAGTGTG